GAAATACATACTGGGTGTTCATTGATTTGAGTTTCAAAGCCAGATGTTTCTGATGTGCTACATCGACTGAGTGAGGAAATGCCACTGCTGTAACTTCCTGACAAGACTGGGGAGTTGGAAATGAGCCCTGATGAGTGATAGTCCACTGGAGACGGAGTAAATGATTGCACTGTACCCTGGGTAAAAGAGAGGAAAGAGAGGTGATAAACATAAAGTGGAAATGTATTTATTTATTTATTAGATTCAAAATGGGGGGTGGAGGTTTTTCTTTGAAGAAGCATGAATGTTCTATTACATCAGGTCTGATTGCCATAGTGCTTAAGGGTTGATTTAGATTCCATTACCAGCAAGTTACTAGAAGCTTCCTACAGTAAGTTATAGCAGTCAGTATTTTCAATGGACATCTATAGAACAAAGATGGTTAGATAGTCTACATTCTCTCAAACATTCTGGAATCAGAACTCTGTGATGAAATATACCAAATCCTGTGAACAGAATGCAAATACTGAGAATCCCAAGGACTAAAAACAGCACTTCATGAAATTGTTGAGGTGAATTCCTGAGGTGGCAAGCAAAACTCAACATGCCATGATAACTCTTCTAAACAAACAAATGCCCTGTTTACCTGATATGAAGACCAGTGGTTGGATCCAGCTAGCTTTTTCTCACTCATTCTCATCAAATTCCCGTTCTTACTCCAGATCCCCTCCCACAGGACTTCTGTATATGAAGGTCCCATGAGCCACAACATGACCCTTTCGGTGGTCGTAAGCCTCCCTTTTTACCATCTGAAAGCCTGGTTGGATCCCACCCTAGTTTTTTCCCTACACGTTCCTTACAAATAGAGGATGGTCTTAAATTTATATACACATTGCAGGTATATATAGCTATAAAAACACTGTTTGTATATAGTATTTTTTCTAGGTGGAGGTCATCTTGCATTTAGGGCTATCTTCCCTTTTTTGGTAGATCTGGTAGTCACAGGAAAATGGAAATTTCTGCATAATGAGTATATTGTCTAGACCAGAACAAATTCCACAGGTATCAATAACTCAGAAAAAGACAGCTAATATTTTGCTTTCTGAAAAACTAGAAAGATTGAATGGTCCTACTGTTTGCAGTGATGCATTGATTTCTTGGCTTCTATTACAAAGTCTCTGGAATTATTCAAAAATGCAATACATTTTCTATTCAGTAAGTGGTAGTACTATGCCCTCTAATGTCAGATAAGGGAACATACATGACAAATTTCATTAAAAAAACCCACAACTATGCTTGCCAAAATGAAGTTTTCCCATTATATAGAAACAGTATGAATGGGCAGTGGTAATATACAGAATGGAGGATGATTATATGTTTAGTAAATTCTTTATGGCCTCTATTAAGGTGTTAGCACTGCATGTACACAAATAGCCGTAATAGTAGGAACAGAGCATATACCAGTGATAGTGGCTTTCCATCACCTAAATAACAATGGGACTCAGAGACTTTTGAGACCCCGCTTTACGAGCCGGTTAGAAATCACCAAATTATTCTGTGTTTACTATGCTATTGTTAAACAGAGTGGATATTCCCACAAACAGCAGAAATTGAAATGAACATAACTAAAACACAGTTAAATGCACATCTAACTGATGCTGAATGACACTTGGAATCACCCATGCTGATCTTGTAGTTTCAGCACAATGTCTGATTAAGTCCAGACAGCTAACTTTTGCAATACAAAGAACAAGAACTTTCAAATATCACAAAAGCAATGTAGAGAGCAGCTCAGCATTAGAACAAGCACGATGTTTGAGTGAAGCTTAAAAGTATCTTTAAAGTACCGTCTTTAGATGTTTCCCAACATAATTAGCAGTTGGTTCTGCACTAAAATATGGATATATGAAGCACCATCATATGCTGTTAAGTACACTTTTTAAAATACTAATGGCAAAATATAGGTATTTCTGTAATTCCAGGCCTTGTATAGGGTGCCTAGTAATAGTAAAGGTTCCCTTGCTCGAAAGCCAGTTGAGTCCGACTCTAAGGTTGCGGTGCTCATCTCCGTTTCCAAGCTGAAGAGCCAGCACTGTCCGAAGACGTTTCTGTGGTCATTTTGGCTGGCATGACTAAACACCAAGGCGCACGGAATGCTGTTACCTTCCCACCGAAGTGGTACCTATTTATCTACTTGCAGTTTCCTGCTTTCGAACTGCTAGGTTGGCAGGAGCTGGAACAAGAGACGGGAGCTCACTCCGTCATGCGGCAACCCGGGTCTCGAACTGCTGAACTACCGACCTTCCACAGCCTGCAGTTCAGCGTCTTAACCACTTGAGCCACCGCAGCTCCAGTATTAGTAGCTTTGCTTAATTTGTTCTGTTTTGTAAGATTTGTAAGATTAATTATATGCACTTATTGGATCATGTAATATTATGCCTTGGTCTTCTACAAGATTTATTTCTGGTAGCTAGACTTCCCTCTAGATTTGGAATGGATTTATTTACTACATCAAAAAGTAATAATGTGTTGCTTTAATAAGTCATATATCAAAAGATTTATCTTGTTAATTTCATAAGGGAGGCATATTTCTAAGTAATGTGGCCCTCATGGCTATAACTGGTATTTACCATATGGAAAGTTTCCAAATTTTCCCCATGAGATGTGAAATACCAGTTGCCACCATATGGGGCACATTTGTGAGAAATATTCATGTTGCAAAAGTGGCAGTGCAAAATGACCTTGCAATGACTTCATCCAAAGGATATGTGTGGAAGAGCCCTAAGAGACAGCCCAAAGGCACACTTAAGTGGGTAAACCAGCTGTTTTCTCAATGTTTACTTCCTCCTTAATTAGAACTAACAATCTAGCTCTCAGAATGACTTGGGATCTTATATGAGCAAGGTTTACTCATGTGCACAGGGTTGTTTCATGTTTCTCAGAAATGTAAGTAATGGCTGAACTGTTGGCTGTATGTTAAAAAATGTGACTAAAAGGAACTTCCACATTCTGAATCCCAGAGCCTGGAGGTAACATCAGGGGAAGGCCTCAGCCTCTATGTCTTGTTGTTGGCTCTCCAGAGGAACTGGTTGGCCACTGTGTGAGACAGGATGCTGGACTAGATGGACCACTGGTCTGATCCAGCAGGGCTCTTCTTAGGTTCTTAACATGGTTTAGTATTTGGAGGTGCTACAACAAAAGGGGCAGGTGGAAAAGAATCTAGGAACATGGACCCTGGGAGCAAGAATCCAAAGATCTGGATTATGTTATGTATTTTTAGGTTCACTTCAGGACTGATATGGATGCTAACAACGACAATCCAAAAAAGCTATGCAATTTGTCACATAACCCAGCTGCTTGTGCAAGCTTTCATTCTTCTATCTTACATGGAAACCTACTTCTGAAAATCATGGTGGCTCCACAGATATGCTACACCTTCGAAGGAAAAAAAGTCCTATTAAGAATGAGGAACTCCTTGTGTTTGTCCAAGTAGCTCTCAGTATGATGGCTTCTAGATTGGATCTGGCAATTTACTTGATTCCCCATTCCTCTCTAATGTTCCCCTGAACCAGTACTGTGGTGCATTTTGTTTGCAATGCTCTCCTAAGAGAGGCTGTTGGGGAAGATCTCCTTCCAACATCTCTTTCCATGTATTTTTTTCCTGTTGTATCCAACCCCCTTATTGTTGTGGTGGTGGTGGGGAAGGGGAGGGAAAAGCTAGAAATGGAGGATCTGCTTCCCCAGCCTCCCTGAGCCTATTTGGCTATGTTTGCCCTGACACAATATCCACACATTATCAGCAGGTAGCTGCTACCATGTTTGTCACCTAAAGATCTTAGACAGAATCTACTAGGTCTACTTCTGCCTCTCTCTGTCAAACCCAGATCTCCCTCCTTCATGTAGCCTGGCTCCACTGAAAGATGGCACACATGTGACCTTGGCAACCTTGGCAACCAAGCAGTTCGTGGATGACACCAGCTTTCTTAAATAAAAAGCTTAACTTTATTTTGAAAAACAGAGGAAGGAGGGAAATTGCATGTTAACTAAGTGCATGGACGAAAGGGAGAGGGAAAGGATTTCAGACACACAGGAGGATGTTAAAGCAGAGTCAAAATAACACAGTAAAACTAACGCACCCTGAATAAACTGGTTTCATAGCTTACAGTTCTTCACAAGTTCTGAGCTACACTGGCCTGAAATTGGCCTATCCTACAAGAGATCCCTCTTTCCCTGATTTCTCCTGGAAAAGGCAATAGTAACTCTCCCCTTTGGGTTTCATCAATTTGTTATAATCACACCTCCTTGCAAGAATATGTGTTCTTTTTCAACTTTGGCTGGTGTTCAGTTGATTCTTTTTGGAGGAGAAACCCTATCTGGGGTTTTGTGATTCATTATCCTTTTCCCACTCTGAGATACTGTCTGAAGTGACAGCTTGGATTTGGAGCTTAATTTGAAAGAGGAAAATCATGGGACTCATGATACCCTTGAATCCTGAACACATGGCAGTGCCTTCCATTAACCACGAGGTGTCAACTTCTCATTATTTCAACAGGAGTCACTTGAACTGGACAAGAGATGCTTTCTTTCTATAGAATGATGTTGTCTTTTCTTATGTTCTATTGCTTACTTTGACATTTAATAAAATAAGAATTGAGAAAGCATTTGTTTTAACAGTTAACACAGTTTGAATGCAAGCTTTATTATATACTAGGCTTTAAAAGCAACATGTATGCCAAACTTGGGTCGATATTATGAGAAACAAAAGATGCAAGAAAATAATTCTGTAACATTGCATTAGGGCTCACCAATACCTTCATTGGAGATCTTCCAGCAGGAGAAGGGGAAACTGAGGTTATATGTCGAGCTGGTGATGCTGTGAAGATGATCATTAATTCAGTTTAGCAATGTTTATACATATTAGGGAATTAAGAATGAACTTATATTGAGAACTGGGGCTTTAAATGAACACTGTAGCCAAGAGGAATGATTATTTAAAATAAACCCCACAATAAGTCATTTCAGATGTTTGATATCAACATGAAAGAAAGCACATTTCCTGTGAAAGAGAAGAACTCTGCGGCCATCCCTTCCTGCTGCCATCCAGTACTGGCCTTTATTCTTAGGGCCTTGAGGGGCTCTTAAGTTGGGTAGAAAGGTGGCATAAAACTGTTATAAATAAATAAATAAATAAAACAACTGGTGCCAAGCTTTTCCAGGCTGGTATTATGAGCTAGAACAGAATTCTAAGTAACAGCCTATGACAGTTTAGAAATATGAGGCCAGTTATTAACTGAGCTGGAGAGAGCTTGTCTGTCACCAGTTGATAACATAGGCAGGTAACCATTCATGTGGGTCTTCCAGTCTGAATGACCTTTTTCTATCGCAGACCTTCTGGAAGAAGCCAAGAGGCGATTAAAAGCAGGAAAAGGTTAGCCATAAAAGACTAGCCCTGTGCTGATTTCCAATCTCTGTCATCGACACAGAGCTGATTTTTCCTTTGGCCTGAAGCCACTTTAAATGCAGATTTGCAATGGTAATACAAAAACCAAATCTGGGCTCAAATCCAACCTGCAGCCGTATGTTCGCAATAACTGACTATTGCTACTAGGATGCAAAGACTGAGATGTACACACATACCCCACAGGGATACCATTCCCCAGGTGGGGGTGGGAGATCCCCTGCTAGCCACCCAGCTGGCAGGAGGAAATCCCCCCCACCCTGACACCGTGCACGAAAAACTGAAGTCACCCAGATGTGTTGTGGGTGTGTGGGGGACACGGGGGGGGGGGGGGAGGCGCTCTGCTTTTTGGGCAAAACTCTATTGTTTGTGTCCATTTTTACCATAGAGTTTTTCCCAAAAGAAGAGTGTTGCCACCAGTGTTGCTGATGTGCTGACGTTCCTGCCCACCCCTGGAATGCCCCCCAAATTCCCCCTGCTGGTGTGAGGAAGAGAGCTGGCAACCCTAACATACCAGTTTGCATGGGCCGTGGTGGTACGGGAGGAGACATTAACTTTCCACACTCTGACATGTTTCTGGCTTCTTTTCCACTGTCCAGGCTCCAGCTGCTGGGAGTGCTGTTTACAGCTGGAAGAGAATAGCAGACGGGAATTAATATTTTCTGCTGCCAGGAGTTAGCATAATATATAGCTTTGTAAAGCAGCACTACTGAAGTTTAATAAATATATTTAATCCTTTTATTTAAGAGATATCTAAACAGAGATTAGTCAGCATCTGGTTGAAATGTAATATACCTTTCACTCCTGAAATATTTCTATTGAATATTTTACCTGATAGTTTAAAAAGTGATGACTCTTATCTTTTAATATATATACCACTTCAGCCAGAATACTATATGCTAAATACTGGAGGAGCCAAAAGACTCCAAGTAAAGAAGAACTTATTAATAAAATACTACAAGCAGCAGAGATGGATAAATTTACATTAACTGAAAGACCACACAGATGAGACATTCGAAAACACTTGGCGGGAGATTTTGTAAATGGTACGAGAACTATATTCATACCAAAACAGGTCAAGATACATAAGCAAGATGAAGAGAAGAAGTAGACGTGAAGAGATTAAGCTTTGGCACTATGGTTGTATTACTCTAAGCCTATTATGAGATGTAAGCTCTAAGTAAAAGATAGTTGGCTTTAAAGTATATGTAAGCATAATGTACCCCCAATTTTATGTTAAACTGTTGTGTTATATGTTTGTACTTTGTGTCATAGAAAAATAAAAAAAATATTAAAAAAAACCACCTGGTTATTTGGCATCACTACATCTTTAAATTCAGGCCACTAAAATGAACTCATCCAACAAGCCCTCTGTAGCCTCTAAATGAATGGTTATTCTTTTCTCACTAAGGTGGTTTTAGACTACTACTACCTGAATTTACCTAGGAAGTTTCCTTTTTTAGTTTTGTTTTGTTTAGACTTTGGGTCCGGTCACACAGTTGTTTTGATCGGGATTCACTGCTGTTCCCTCTCACATTTAAATTTGGTGATCGGACAGGCCAATTTGTCTGTGAGGGAGGGAGGGCAGCCCAGGAAGCCATGTGTCATCCCAGCAGGCAGGGAGATGAGAAGCCACGCCGGAGGACTTGGCAGCAGGGCGAGGAGCCTTGCCTGGAGGTCCCGATCTGACTCCCCCCCCCCAAAGACCCAGCCGGGAACACAGCACCAGAAGCAGCAGGGGGGGAGCAGAGGTGGGGGGGAGGTCCCTTGAGGCTTGCTTTCAGCTGGGAGCCTAGGGTGAGAGTGCCCTGCTCTCCACTACCACCACTTGGGCAGCGCAGCTATCTGGATGGTGCACAGCGCGATGCAAGCGGTTGGGGGAGGGATGTGTGAACATCCCAATGTGGGGAAAAATATTCCCGATCAAATCTATTGCGGGAATAAATCGGGAGAAGCTTGCCATGTGACCACAGCCTTTAACTCTGACACTTTTCTGCTGTATGGTTTCTTACCTACTGGAGCACAGTAGTAACTGTGGCACAAGTTAGAGTTTAGTGCAGTAAAAGGTTTGTTATTTGGCACCTGATTATCTTAGATGCTCAGACAACCAACCGCCCATAGGGCAAGCTCTTCCCCCTTCACCATCATACTCCTGCCTCTACAGCTGGCCAGCTTGATGCCTCTAGCCACAGCTGGTCTTCTGACAGCTGGTGCTGCAAGTTAATGTCATCTTTCCCACTCATCCTGCTTCAAGCTGTTGGGAGCCAGCTCTGCTGGAAGGCTCCAGGCAGCTGGCCTGCTTGTCTGCTGCCAGGTGTGAGGGCTGTTGCCATGGAGCTCCCAATGGGATGGGGTTTGGTCACTGTTGATTCCTCTGAGTAAAGGGTGGGTCAGAGCTACAAACCTAAGTATCCAGTGCGTTTGATTACCCCCCCCCATGAGTGTCAGATAACAAAGCTCTTACTGTATTGTCTTTGAAGAAATATGATTTGTGCTTACCCTTCTCAGGACCAGACAAATTAGGATCACTTCGAGGCAGAGCGCCATCTCCAATGTGATTGAACATAATCCTCTAGAAATTCAGAACAACATATTTTTATGACAGCACTTCTATCTATATTTTATACATTGTTAAACCATGAAACTTCCATTAAAAAGAACACATAAATCAGATATAATTTATAGAGCTAACCTTATGTTTGTGTTTAGTTAAGACTTATAACTATTGTTCTTAACATAGGAGAATATAGCTATGAGACAAAAACAAGGACACTTTAATTTTAATAATGTTTGCAGGAACACAAGAGAATGCACTCCTGGTATAAGTAGGGTTCACAATTCAAAGATGAACTTTGTGAAGGAGATAAAACACAATTTTAAATCAATTTATACCAACATCAGATTAGTTCAAAATATAACCCCCCAACCTAGTAATGAGCCAAATGCACTTCCCACATCTACTTCCAAAGTAATGTACTGATTTTGAAAAGGATGCAATGCAAAAATGTACAAACAAACCTTGAGTTATGTAATTATGTAGAAGACCAGATAATAAATAAACATAGAACATGATTAGTAGATTCTGAAAGTGAAGTGATAAACTTGAAAGAAGTACATTAATTGGTTGCTGAAGCTAAACTACATTTCTAGTCTACATTCTAAATAACAATGCTTCTGTCCAAAGGTGCCCTGGAAGGGGGTGGGGGAGAACCAAGGCTAGCAATTGGAACATTTGCCAGAATGAAGCATCTTTTTGTAGTGAAAACGTTCAGGAACCAGCCAAGGAATTGAAATCACTGATTAAAAAAAATGGAAGCAAACATATAATAAATACTGCCAGGTATCCAAGACAAACAATAAATGTATAGCTGCAGCAAATAATGGAATGCTTAAGAGGAAAGAAAAGGAAAAGATAAAAGAATTTAGTTAATATAAAGAAGCAGAGCGCAGATGGATGCACAGCTTTGTCACTAGCAAGAGACATGCAGGCGTTTTAACTGGCAATGTAGTATAAGCACAAGACAGGTCATGATAGCTCAGTCAGTGTCCACCTTCTCATAACACAAAACTGCCCAGCCTAACACAATGGCCAGCTGGTCCACAAATGTAACATGTGAATTTATTAAATATGCGTGAAACTGAAACTGGCTTCATATGGAGAACTGGAATGACCAAAAGCCATGCATACTACCATACTGTCCTATGTTTACTGAATTCACTTATTACAAAATTGGACACGTTCCAAAGTAAGATTTGGTGTAGTTTTGTGATGGGAACTATAGCAAGAAGGTAGCACTGAAAGAATTGGATTGATGGGAAAATATATTCCTGATCATGAAGAAAGCTAGCCTGGTAGAACCGTGCCCATGTCCTGCTCTCTAATTTTATGTGCTCTCCGCAAAATCTGCAATGTTTTGACTGTAACCACTTACAACTTCCAGGTAATTCACCATATAGCATTCATTTTTACTGTGGAAAATTACCATTTGATCTCAAAATCTGGCAGGTAGAACCCACCCTGCGTGCTAGTGCTCCAAGGTACACAGCATAGGGAACTGGAAAATGCCTCACAATTTCTGATGCTGCACTAAGCCATTTTTATTGTGATTTTTCTCTGATGGTAATACAAAGAAGCCCTTCAAATAATGACTTTGCAATGGATGCTGTTCTACAACATGGAGTTACCACAAGGAAGTCTTGTGACTTTGCATGAAAAAAGTCTTCCTCTTTTCAAAGAACAGGACTTGTTTAAGGAACTGAGAGAGAGAAAATAAACTGCTGGAGTCTTGACTGTCTTCATAAGGTTTGTGTGAGAAAAGTAATGTGTCTACTTACCCTGTCTGGGGCTACTGAGGAAGTTGACAGATTGGAAGATTTTCCTGCCAGGTAAGCCTCTGGGAGAGCAGAGAGTGGGCCTACGTGCTCCTCAGGCTCCCTTGGTGAATCTCTGATGCAGCGCGGAATGGAGGCCTCATTCCACTGGCCAAAGCAAGAGTTTGCAGGCTGGGAGCAAAAATGGCACACATTCTGTCTTTGTGGCATGTTTTAAAGCCACTTAACATACAGAACATTTCACTTGGTCCTTTACCTGTCCTGGCTGCTCCAGGTAATTTTAGGGAACTTGAGGCTGAATTCGGAATTAATGTTTGCCTAGTGGTTGTTGTCACTGAGAAAATATCAGTTATTATAGCAACTGGCAAGTAATGAGGTATAATAAATCACAGTAGAAAACTAAAGAGAAACGTAGTATTTCCTATCCAAGAGAATGACTTGCAAAGCCCCTAAAGCTCAAGACCCGGGGGGAAGGGGGAACTGTGGGTTACATGTAAGCAAGATAACTGGAAATACTGTAGTTTTCTGCTGGCCAAGTCAGAGTTCTATGAATGTTGAGAGCCCACTTAAAACGTCCAGGTTTCCCCATGTCTCACTGTTAGAATGAAATGATGTAAAGATGAAATGGACTTAGAAGAATATTAAGAAGCATTCCAAAGGTCAATGTACCTGATAAAAAGCATGTTTGTTAATTAGGAATTACATATGTAAGTGAAAAGTGGTAGGTATACTGAAGTTATAAGAACTTTAGATATGCAGAACTCATATTAACATAAGGAACAAACTTTTTTGGCTTTCTTCTTGTTCTGTCAAATGCTTCCTTCAAAAATTGTCTTACAGAATCAAGTGAAGAGCTTCCAAACCTAAGCTCTTACTTATCAGTAGAACACCTAACCATTATCATCTTGAGAAGAACTAGAGTACGATCAAACAGATCAAGTGCATCTTTACAAAAAAAATAGAGAGATGAAACTATGAACTGGTAAGAAAATCAATAAAAATGTCTTCACTGTAATAACTATTTGTAACAGGACCATTTTATGAATTTCCTACCTGTGAAGGCTCAGAAGGATTAGGGTAAATGGCACTACATGGCCTCTCCCTTGGAGAGAGGCAAGAGTTCTCTCTGGAATGTTTAAGCTTGTCAGACAACAGAGGTGAGCCTAGAATACAAAAGAAACCTATCAAATCAGTAAGTGCAATTCTTCCAGCATTCTGTTTGGTGGAACATTCTGGGAAGGGCACGGGAACAGAGACCTACAGTGATTGGTCTTCCACTGAAGAATCTCAAACAATGTGATCAATAAGCAATAGCATTAAAATAATTTGCAATGAAATCCTATGCATGTTTATGTGGAAATAACTCCCACTGAGATAAGTGGAACTTACTCCCAAGTCAGGAGGGGCCACAGAATTACAGCTTTAGTGACCAGAAAGCTTCCAAAAATTGTTTTCATGTAGTGAAGCACTGACCTCTGGCACTGGATGGAGCAGAACTGGTCACATTAGGTGAAGCAGAATGAGTGGAACTCAGGCTTGAGGTAGATGGACTTGGCTGGAAATATAAGAGCCACAAAGTTCTCAATATTGCCTGACTAACGATCAAATAAAATATGTGTTCTTGTTTATAGTGTGATACACTGTACCAAAAACTCAACATAAAAGGCTCTCAAGATTGCTTGGCTCATGAAAGCGGTACATTTGGGACAGGGCTATGGTAGGCAGATTATTAGGTTCACTGTGGATTTCTCCACAGCCCCCAGTTTGCCTTTTGGTCAACATTGCTGTTAGATACCATGAATCAGCCCTGGTTGTTTAAGGACAATACCATGCATCCTACCACTATGCTCTGCAAAGTCTGAAGCCTTCTTCCTGCCTAAGGAACCTTTTTCAAACTTGTACATACAAAAGAACCCAAAATGTGGTAAGCAGTCAGAAGCAGAAAATGAAGGTATTCATCAATTTAAAAATATTTCTAATGTTATTAATGAAAAGCTATTGATGGTCACTCAGCATCCTTCCTTTATTATCTTATCCCAAGACAGCTGTAAGCAGGAAAACAACTATCTTCTGCACTGTTCACTGTAATTAGGCCTGGCAGTGTATGTAGGCAAATCTGAAAGAAGCATGTAATTTGGTTCTGTGGAACAGCATGTCTCATGGCTGGTCCCTTGAAAAGAAAATAATTTTAAAAATTACAGCTGGCTGAGCTTAGGAGTTTGTATCTTTAAGAGCAGCTAAACAGACCAGTGTGGCTATACCAATTGAACAATAATTTTGCACACATGGAATTTCTTCTTGTTGGATCCCTCATAAATGAGGAATTCTTAAGACTTGCTGAAGTCAAAGTTTCTAAACTTTATTTATTTGGAATTTATTTATTTGGAAATTTTCTATGCTGCTTTTCCAGGGAACATGCCTGAGGTGGCTTACAAATTAAGCATGACAAAAGTTACTAAAACTCAGCATTCAAAAACACGCAAGCATAGAACAACATCAAGCATGGGGCTCCTTAAAATGGGTCTTAAAAGTTTCCAAAGCTATAAAATGATGTTAAAAATCAGTTAAAAGCCTGGATAAACTGAGATGTATTGGCTGAAGGCTAAAAAAAAAGTAGTGCAGGTGCCAGACACTCTACAGGTGAGGTGCCACTATTGGAAAAACTCCTCTCTGGTTGCTACCTGTGAGTGCACACAGTGCAGGGCATATGAGGAAGATCTTAACTGGCATGTCGGACAGGATGAGAGGAGACAGTCTTTCAAGTATGGGCCTTAAAGGTAAACACCAGCACCTTGTGCCAAAAAACAAATGGGCAGTCAGTTTAGCTCTTTCAGCACTGCGGTCATACTGGGCAAACTAGTATTACATGCATATCAGTGCACTGGAGAAATGCTTCCTTTTCTTCTCTGTTAATTCAATCTTGTAAAACCTAAGAGGCAAATCTCAATCTCATGGTGATTTCTCACGAGAGCTGCCTCGCAGCACAGCGCCGTTTGCCTCGACACATTTGTGTCAATTTCACACCCGAAGCTCCGGGGTGCATTTTGACTCGGGGCTTCCCGATTTCCTCCACAGTTTCGTGATCCTGGTTTTTGAGGATCATGAAACTGTGGAGGAAATCGGGCGAAGCCCCGAGTCAAATGCAGCCCCGGAGCTTCGGGTGTGAAATTGACACGTTTGTGTCGAGCAGCTCTCGTGAGAAATCACCCTCAATCTCATTACACTAGAGCTGCTATTTAGAGATTTAACAGCTTTCCCTTCAACCAACTGCCTCTGATGCATACCCCACTAAAGGCAGTGGGTATAATTTCTGATAACTGTTCAGCCAGTCAATGATCAATCAACTCTTTTTTTAAAAAAATACATCTCATACATTCCATTCTAAATGCCACATAATCCTGGAAAAACCCTTTTCATTGGTCTTTATGGTAGGAAAATGTGCATAGCATACCCACTTTGATTGGTGAAGCCTCAAGATCCCTCTCTCACCTGAATGCCTCAAATCACAGCAGGTTTTTGCAGGAATGAAATAGAATTTGTCAGCTTTCAACCATTTGAACACCCATACAACACTGTACCCAGCAAGTGAGTGAGCATGCCTAGGGTGGCTTGCTAGTCAGAAGCTTTGTTTTGTGGTTATGTTCACTCTATATCCACACAAACACAAATTCCTCACTTACTTCCTTTTATCTGTCTGTACTTAAAATAAATCTCTAATCTTCCCACTAGAAGTTCCAGAGGTAAGTTAAGTTTGTTAAGTATTAGGGATGGGCATGGACCCAAAAAATCCAGTTTGGTTTGGAGTGGCCCCCAAATCAAACCCCGAACCGAGCCACAAGGCCCTGAACTGAACTGGAAAGTTCAGTCCTCCCTTTCTCCCAGCTGCGGCTTGTTGCGGCTGGGAGGAAGGGAGGGCATCACCTGGAAAGGTTTTAATGGCTGTCAGCCATTTAAACCTAACAGCTGATGGGTGGACCTGCCCTGCTGTTAGGCTGAAATGGCTGGCAGCCATTTCAGCCTAACAGTGGGGTGGGCGCACCCGTCAGCTGTTAGGTTGAAATGCCTCACAGGCATTTCACCAGTCCATTTCGCTTCCCCCTGCTTGGAACAGGGGGAAGCGAAACCCACTGGTGAAGTGGCTTGCACAGCTGGGCAGGTGTGCCCATCAGCTGTTAGGCTGAAATGGCTGACAAGCACTTCACCGGTCTGTTTCACTTCCCACTGTTTGGAAGTGGGGAGAAGCGAAACCCATCAGTGAAATGGTTCGTGGCCTTTTAAACCTAACAGGTCAGCTGTGGACCCATGCTGCTCAGCTGTTAGATTTAAATAGCTTGAACAGCTGTACAGAACGGGACAAAAGTCTGGTAAATGTTTGAGGAAGGTGCCTTCCCTGAACACCAGTTTGGGAGCTCCGAACCGACCCAAGTTCATGCTGAATTTTGGCTCATGAACCAGTTTGCGCCTATCCCTATTAAGCATCACACCATGTTCAAAGCTGGCTTAGAAGCAATCTATGCTACTGCAGGTATGATTATCTGCCTCCGGGAGGGATGGCAGTGGACTGAGAACTCTTCAGAGAGGAGAGGAATTCTTCACTGTAGACTGATCCAGCTCTGAGGACCAAATCAGTTCTGTGTTTGGAATTCTCAGCCATGTTTTAAAAGTTAATGCTCCAGGTCTTATGGGGATGCACTTCAAATTAGGACCATGGAGATAAAGGGCTTAGCCTGTGCTCTCATCCTCACCTCAAGGACGCACTATTTGCCCTAGTGGTTCTTCAGATCGAAAAAGTAGATCAGGGGAAAAGGCTTAAGCCCCTTCTCCCCACAGTCCCGCATCCATATTGGGCATCCACATGCCTGAGAACTGACTAAAAAAGTCCTGGAAGCTTCTAACATGGAACTCCCAGCCTACACGCACTTTGGCCCTATGATAGCATCTTAGCCCTAAATTTCTTCATTGGTGGCAGTTACTACTGAGTAATGATCCAGAGATAATTGCATAACATATAAAGCTATGTGGATGATTCTGGCCCAATAAGGTACATATTTTTAAAAAATGGGAGTCCAAATGGTTATTTAATATTGATTTTTCTGTTTATTATTCTGTCATCTGACCCAAAATGCTAGAACAGACATGGGGAATCACAGAACCCAAGTGACAAATATATATAAATAAAAGCTACTTAACATTTTGTAATATTTTCAGATATTCAATGCACTACAGAAGAATAGTTTTGTAAATCAGTACTGTCCTCTTTTTGGAGTCTTAGACATGGGAATATATTAGACATGGGAATATTTTGTACCTGCATGTTGAAAACTTCATCAGAACTTTCAGACTGTCCAGTGATATTGCTGACCTCTGCAGATGCTTGTGAGGACAATGATGAGGATGAGTATCTGTTGACCGCTGGATAGCTTAATGGACTATTGTAAGCAAATTAAGAAAACTTAGCACTGACTCCGATTAATTTTATCATATAGCACGGTTAACAATCCCTATATACTTACACTCACATAAAAGCACACACACACACACACACATATAAGAGAAGTAGAGTAGTACTGTAAAGGAAATTAGAGGATTAGCTACTACCAGCCCCTGCCCTATATCACTTTATTTCCTACTTCAGGGATCCCGCTCCAACAGAGATGCCTAACTAATCTTTCCCTGAAAACCGCTGAGAAAAGAATTCCAGCAACTATCTTTGGCAGCTCATTTCTTCTGCTTTTACAGTTCAGAACTGTCTGGCTTTTGTGAGGCCTATTCCATCTAATTAATAGAAAAGTATGTATGAATGATAAACAGGGAAGTTTTAAGTTATTTATTTATTTAAAACATTCATTAGCCGCCTTTCTACCTTACAGGAACTCAAGGCGGCTTACGACGTAAATAATAATAAAAAACAATCAAATACATAAAAGCCACTAATTAAAATCAATAATCTAAATCTGTCACTTACCTACGTCTAGGAATTACTCTAGCACCTTCTGGACTCATAGAAACAGGTACTGAATTTCTAGGGACACGGGGGCTTCCATTTGGATAGTGAACTGGACTAGCCTGGATACATGCAGCAAATTCCTAAATGTTTATTTGAATGGGAGAAAAAAGATCACAAGAGCTCAAAATCTGTAACAATGTTTTGCTACCACTGTTTAAATGGCATTTAAAAAACCAACCTTTATATATGGGTATATATAAAGAAGAATATATATAAAGAAGAATATATATGGGTATATATAAAGAAGAACATCTATAAAGAAATATATATATGGGTATATATAAAGATTTTTAAAAGATGTAAATGCAAGGCATTGTGGAGGAACTACAGAAATGTATCATATCCGGAAAGCCTGAAGATGTCACTGTTTGTTGCTGAGCAGAAGTACACACCATGATTACACAATGCAACCATGACACATATAATGCAGCTCCTGCCTCCCCTTGGTATAAGTTTAACATACCTGTATTCCTAAACTTGATTTCATCACAAAGAACTGATCCACTAATTTTTTATGTAGAGGTCTCATATCTTGAGGTACAAACTTCTCATGTACGGCTAAACCAAATTCCAGAATTTGAGCCTATACAGAACAAGGGGAAACAAAGGCTAGTTACTTAACTTGTCCCCCTATATGTCTCTGCTGTACAAAACCATTTGTAATCATGGGTTTGGATTCCAGCAAGATTTCAATGAGCACATTTGGGGGGAGGGACACAATTTTCAATGATTCCTCCATTCCATGGCAGCCCAAAGTATATCCAAAAATACTGCCCCTGGGTGTATGGGACCATCGGGAATAGCTTGGGGGGAAATTAGAGATCTCCCACAGGAGGGGGAGGATCAGCAAAAATCTGTTCCCTCATTGAGCCCATAGGCAGGATACAAGCCACAGTGTTTAGTTTTAAAGTCAGGAATTAAAGCTATTAATGTTATATATTTAAGATCATAATTCAAACAACTGTGAAGTCACCGTGTTTACACTTCTGGCAATGGAGCTGCACAGTCTATACAGATAGATCATTGTTCCATAGAGAGCAATGTTTTTTGCTTGGCAGAGCTAAATGTCAGCCCAACATACAATTTCTGAACACAGTGTTTACATTTAAGTTTAATGGACAATAGGGAAATTTGAAGGGATGAGCTGCATAGATCTATTTCTATTCTAAACAGAAATATATTTTTAGAAATCCACACATTAAGAAGAGGCAGAATAAATACCACATAATCTTAAAACTACAGTCTTAAAATTATAAAATTGGTTCAAATTCCCTTTAGAATACTGAGCACGCTTATTTTAGATTATTTGAAGTATTATCTCACACAGCCCATGAAGAGAAACAGAGGGGGATAAATGGCTAGAGTACTGGACCAGGACTGGGCAGACCCAGGTTCCTGCCTCCCTCTGAGCCATGAAGCAAAATGAGTGGCAATCATTCCCACTTAGCCTAATATTATGGTGAGGATGAGAGTGGAGGAGAAGAGAACCGTGTATGCTGCCCTGAACTCTTTGTTGGAAAGTTGCAATAAAAATAAAGATCCACAGATATTAAAATATTTGCACATATAGCCACACAATGTAAGTTCTGCCTTCTAGCCACTCTTCAGTTCAGGGTTGTGTTTTAAAACAAAGTAAAATGATTAGAAAGATTAGAAAGACTTAGATTGGTTGTTCACCCCTATCACTGAACCGTTCTGAATATTAGTTCTACAAAGTCCACATCTCACTGAACACTTGTAACATGAATGTTTCCATTTTATGCTTCTTTTTCCTGGTCACATGCCAACTACAGTGATGACAGACAGCAAGTGCCCGCAGCTTTACCTGCTCAAGCATCAGTTCTCTCAGGCAGGTGATCTTCTCACTATCCTCTGGGTGGTTCAGGATGTACTCCTTCACAAAGAAGGCCTGAGCAGAATACAAACACAATACAAGGCCATTCATGTTGGGTTGAAGTAGACTGTTCTAACAAGAGTGTTAAGCAAAAATCCTTTTTCTTTTGACAGCAGTGAACCAAATACTTACACTGCATTTGTGCTCAGAAGAGCCCTATAGTACATGCTTAGTTCATTTCAATGGTAATAAAAGCCTAAGGCCCCATTTATAACCAGGTTGTTATTCATCCATTTTTAAAGCCAGATTTCTGTCACATTCGTTAAAACTATATTATAAGCACAGGCATAGTACAAGGTGCGTGTGTTAATAAACCGTGGATCGCTGACAGCATTTTCAAATGATTTTCAAACATTGACAGTGTTTTAATAGGGCAGCTTTTCCAAAGCGCAGGGCTTCAATTTTGGGTTTCTTATGATTAGATTTACCTTCCAAACACATTCACAGTTTTCATAATGCCGTGTGTAACTTCCAAAAGTTCTCCATGGTTGCAGAATTTAGCCAGGCCTCAAGACTTAAGAGATACCACATTGTATTCAGTGCACTCCACCCCCCCATGACCTTTAATTCTTCATCATGCAGCACAATTATTTATGCATATGGTGTTATATTTATTTCATCTACAAAATTTATACCCCACCTTTCTGCCCTTTCTAGGGCAGCCAAGGTGGCTAACAATTTCAAATATACATGATAAAATACATTATAAAACCACTAAAATAACCCCCCAGCATACCTCATTGAAACAATTTTTAAAAGTTAAAAAGTAGTTAAAACACATATAAAACAGTTAAAATACATACAAATATAGAACACTGGACAGGAAGGAGGGACCACTGAGAGAAGGGCAAACAAAACAAAAGAAGTCTTCACCCACCGGTGGAAGACAGCGACAGAAGGGGGCAGATGAATCTCCCTGTGGAGGGAGTTCCAGAGCTTTGGTGCCATGACCAAGAAGGCCCCCTCACAGGCCACAGGTTGCCGCCCGCCTAATCTCAGAAGGCAGGAGCACCCAAAGCAGAGCCTCCAAAGATGACTGTAACTGTTGACAGGTTCCTCAGGGATTAGGTAGTCCTTCAGTATGTGGGTCCCAAACCATACAGGGCTTTGAAAGTCAAGACCAGCACTTTGAATTCTGTCTGGAAACAAACTGGAAGCCAGCGTAGGTGGGCCAAGACTGGAGTGATATGGTCCCTATAGCCCAGTCCAGTCAACCTCCTGGCTGCTGCATTCTGTATGAACTGAAGTTTCCAAACACTTTTCAAGGGCAGCCCCACGTAGAGTGCACTGTGGTAATCTAATCTAGAAGTAACCAGGGCATTTACTACATGGCCAGATCTTTTCTGTCTAGGAAAGGTTCCAGCTGGCCAACCAGTCAAAGCAGGTAAAAGGCACTCTTGGCCACAGGTGCCATCTTCTTATCCAGCAGTAGGCCTGAGTCCAACAGCACCCCAGACTACAGACCTGTTCCTTCAAGGGGAATGCAATGTCATCCAGAATGGGTGACACCTTAAATCCTGGGTCAGAGCTTCAGCCCACCAGTAGCACTTCTGGCTTGTCAGGATTAAGCTTCAGTTTATTAGCCTTCATCCACTCCAAAACTGCCTCCAGGCAGGGTTTATACAGCCTCCCTAGGATCAGCTGGAAGTGTGAAACAGAGCTGAGTGTCATCCGCATATTGTTGACAGCCTAGCCCAAATCTCCAGGTGACCTCACCCAGTGATTTCATGTCGATGTTAAGGAGCAGAGGGGACAAGATGAAATCTTGTGAGACCCCATAGGCCAAGGCTGAACAGTAGTCCCCCAGCACCATTTTCTGCAATCTACATTCCAGGTAGGCCAGAACCACTGTAAAACGGTGCCTCCCAATTCCAGTCCAGATAGGCGGGCCAGAAGGATACCATGACTAATGGTATCAAAAGCTGCTGAGAGATCCAGGAGAATCAACAAAGTATCTCTCTCTCTGTCCATCTCCCAGTGCAAGTCACCCACCAGGACGACCTAAACCCAGATTGGAAGGGATCTAGACAATCTGCCTTATCCAGGAAGACATTAAGTAGTTCAGCCACCACCCGTTCAATTACCTTAGAATCATCGTTGGAAGGTACCTCCAGGGTCATCTAGTCCAACCCCCTGCACAATGCAGGAAATCTACAAATAACTCACCCCCCCCACACACACACCCAGTGACCCCTGCTCCACACCCAGAAGATGGCAAAAAACCTCCAGGATCCCTGGCCAAACCAGCCTGGAGAAAAATTGTTTCCTGACCCCAAAATGGCGATCATCACTTCCCTGGGCATGTAAGAAAGAGCCACAAGAACTAAGCACTGATGCAACCCTTCCTGCCCTCCCTCTCATGATCTGCCTAAGTTGACAGAATCAGCATTGCTGTCAGCTGGCCATTTAGCCTCTGTTTAAAAACCTTCAAAGAAAGAGAGCCCACCACCTCCTGAGGAAGCCTGTTCCACTGAGGAACCACTCTGTCAGGAAGTTCTTCCTAATGTGATGTCTGCTCAAGAATGGAACATTTGAGACGGGTCAATAATTACTGAGACCTCCTAGACTGTTCCAAGGCTGGGGTGACCACCCCCTCTCTTAAGGAAAGATTAACTACTTCTCAAACCATCAGCCAGCCCCTCCACACAGAAGATTTAAGGGTAGGGTCATACAAGCACAGAATAGGCCTCAAACTGTCCACATCCACAGAATGAATAGACCTAAAAATATCCCATACAATTGGACAAGTTGGTACCTGGACTTCAATCCAACTCTGTCAGTGCTAACAGAGTCCAAGTTGGAACAAATGAGAGAGGTTTTTATCTACAAAGGCAGGATACATCTTCCTCTAATCTGGGAGAACCGGGTTTGATTCCCCACTCCTCCATATGCAGTTGCTGGTGTGACCTTGGGTCAGTCATAAGTACTTTCAGAGCTATTCTCTCAATGGCAGTTCTCAAGAGAGATCTCTCAGCCCTACCTACCTCACAGGGTGTCTGTTGTGGGAAGGGGAAGGGAAAGGGATTGTAAGCCGCTCTGAGACTCCTTCGGGTGGTGAAGGGCAGGATATAAATCCAATCTCCTCCTCATCAGCATCCTTGCCTTTTCATTGCCCGTAGTCCCCCAGTAAACCAAAGGGCTACCTGGGCTCTATCACCTGAAAAGAGGGCACCTGAGAGCAATTGTGTCCACTGCCCAGGTCATGTCCTCATTCCAGCAGAAACAAAAAGGGGAAAAAAACTGAAACTTACAAGAAACTCCAGAACCAAACAAAGGTTAGTGAAAAGGAGGGCCAATATTAAAACCTTTCCATAAAAAATATAAAGAGGTACATGTATTTATTAAGAATCACAAATTTTAAAACATATATAGAGGCCCATTTACAACCAATATATATAAAATATACAAAATATACAAATATCAAGGGCTGACAAAGTTGACCTTACACGTTTCGGCCAAATAGGCCTTCCTCAGAGGTCATACATAAAAAGTAAAAAAATAATAAAAGATTAAACACACATATTTTACAACAAGTTAAAGAATTTGAAATCTATATAGCCAATCTATAAATATAGACCATAAACTTACTTCAAAAGTAAAATCACCAGGCACAGGGTAAATATGCACATAAGACCTTTAAAGTGCAATCACTAGCCCAGTGATTCTTTAACTTGTTGTAAAATATGTCTGTTTAATCTTTTATTATTTTTTTTACTTTTTACAGCAATTTATTTAATGGTCCTGATTGAATCTATACTTTGTATATATGTCTGATTGTGTTTATGTGAATATAATTATTAACCATCTTGCCACATATGTATGACATAACAAAAAAGGAAGAGCCCCAAGGAAGTGCTATTATTATATTACAACATTAAATGCTTAGTTGTCTCCTCTCTAACAGATTTCTAAATACAGCTATTAGTAAGGGGGCTCCACACAAGGAAAGTGAAAAAAATAATCCTTATTATACTCTTGCTACCAGCTTTTGCTTGGGCTTCCCCTCCAGGTCACTGTTTCCTTCTCCTCCTACTGCTGCTGACTGTCTACCCCTCATTGTCTTACTGCAAGAAATCAAAATGCTGCCCAAATGTCAGCAGTTTGGTTTTTGCAAAGTATTTGCATTTGCAGACATTATAACTGATTTTTTAAAACTCCACATGAGGTGTTGTTTTTCACAGAACCCCCTAAGATTTTCCTGCAAACCTGGGATCTCCTGACTTTGCAAAAACCTGACTTGGGCCCCGGTCACACGGCAAAGTTGCCGCGGGAGAGGCACGGATGGTGGGCGGATTATCCGGGCGCGATCACACCCCAACACCTGGGAAGTGGAGCGCACCCGTGGCTTACTGCCAAAAATGCGCATGAAAAAGAAGTACCTCCAAAGTACTAGTAAACGTTTGCCACGGGCTGCCTCCAGACTCCCGTGGTGTGATTGCGCCGGCGCGCGGCATTCCCCTCTGGTCCCTCATTTACCCGCCGGCACCGAGGGAAGGACCCGTGGTGTGCCGCCAGCACGTCTGATCGCGTAATCGCGGATCAAATTGCGCCGGGGCAATTAGCCACGCCTCCCCCCCGATATCCGGCCCATGTGACCGGGGCCTTGTATCTGTATCTAGATATACTGCATCGATTCTATCTGCACAGGGGCCAGTTCATGTCTATTAGATAAAGCGATTAGGGCTGGTATAATAATATTGCTGTTCAAATGAGGAATACAGCTTAAAGTAAGAAAGTATCCTAAATGCAAAAACTATATACTTGAATAATTTACCTCTTGGTACCTGGAAACTCCACCATTAACTGCTGCATCAATGACCCCATTTAGACACATTGTGAGTGGGTTGATATTCTGCATCTGTCGATTCTGGCACTGACTGATCAGAGTTCTCAGCTGCTGGTTTTTATTTTCCAGCACTTCAATAGCATTCTCCAGAGGACTCATTTCCACCTGAAGGCCGGGAGGGAAAAACAGCATCAAGAAATTGCTTATGTGTCAGATATTTAACAGCTAATTTCCAACTGCTATAGCTCTCAGAGAACCATCTCTGAGGTCAAGAGATTATATTTACCACAGCAAAGTTAACAATCATCCTAGTCATGTCCTGGCAGTCATGAAGAGAAGCAGAATATGGAGTGTGCACATAGTGATTATCTGAAGATATAGCTATTAACTAGTGTATGAAAAACAGCCAAGTTATCTCTGATGTCATTTGTGAGTAACTGTCAAATCATAAATGCGTAGTCCACCCAACATTATGCATATAAAATCTTAAAACAGATGTTAATTCATATCTGCCCTTCTATCTGTCCCCCTTGCCAATCTGTTACTTCGATGATGGTAAACTGTCTGGAAATAGAGAGCTTTTCAAATTTTCAAGAGCTCCTTACTGCTTGTTTGCGGAAACTGGAGTCTTCCCATTTTTGGTTTGTTTTTCTTCCGGCATAAGCTTATTTGGAGGGCTGAAACCTCCCTTGCTGTACTCAGACATCACATTAAACCACAGTTCAAGAACTACAGGTTTATTATATTCTGGTTTAGTTTGATGTCTGAATGTCAGACATCCATCTAATGCTGGTTACTAGGAAGCCATAAACCACCATTCTGAAGTAAAGGTGCATCTTGACTTGTGGATTCTTGTAATCGATCTAACTATTACTTAAGAGTTCCCAGAACCGAGGCTTAATCTCAGACTCTTTGACAGCACCACCCTCGGGCCACAGAATCACACCACAACCTGTTTTTAAAAGGGGATCCAGAGGGGAACCAGAAAATTGCAGGCCAGTCAACCTAACATCTGTCCCAGGCAAATTAGTAGAAAACATGGCTTCTGCAAAGGGAAGGCCTGCCTCAGCAACCTTTTGGAGTTCTTTGAGAATGATGCAGCTGTGCCAGAACTACGGCTTGCCCAAGGTCATCCAGCAGGTGCAAGTGGAGGAGTGGGGAATCAAACCCGGTTCTCCCAGATTAGAGTCCGCGCACAAACCACTACACCAAACTGGTAGACAACAGTGACCTCTTAGACATTATATACCTGGATGTTCAAAAGGCTTTTGACAAGGTACGTCAACAAAGACTCCTGAGTAAACTTAGCACTCATGGGATAAGAGGACTAAAAACTGGTTAAATGACTGGAAGCAAAGAGTAGGAATAAACTGACAATTCTCACAATAGAGGGAAGTAAGCAGTGGAGTCCCACAAGGATAGGTATTGGGGCAAGTACTATTCAATTTATTCATCTATGATCTGGAACTAGGGGTGAGTAGTGTTGTGGCCAAGTTTGCAGATGACACCAAATTATTCAGGATGTTGAAAACCAAGGCTGACTGTGAAGAGCTTCAAGCAAACCTCCACAAACTGGGTGAGTGGGTGACAATGTGGCAAATGAAGTTCAGTGTTGCTAAGTGTAAGGTGATGCACACTGAGACAAAAAATTCCAACTTCAAGTAAAGGCTAACGGGGTCTGAACTTGCTGAGAATGACAGGGGAAAAGATCTCGGGGTCGTAGTGGATAACTCAATGAAAACATCAACCCAGTGTGCTGCAATAGTGAAAAAGGTAAACTTGATGTTAGAGATTATGAGGAAAGGGACTGAGAATAAAACAGCCAATATTGTAATGCCCCTGTATAGATCTATGGTGCGGCCTCATTTGGAATACTGTGTACAGTTCTGGTCACCATATCTCCAAAAGGACATCCCAGATCTGGAAAAGTACAAAAGAGAACAACTAAGATGATTAGGGGGTTGGAGCACCTTCTCTATGAGGAAAGGCTGAAGAGTCTGGGACTTTTCAGTTCAAAAAAGAGATGATGGGGGGCATGATAAAGGTTTATAAAATTAAGCATGGGGTGGAGAGAATTGACAAAGAGTAATTTTTCTTCCTCTCCCAAAATACTAGAACTCAGGTGCTTCCAAGGAAACTGATGGGCAGTAGGTTCAGGATAGACAAAAGGAAACATTACTTTAAAAAGACAATGATTAAAATGTGGAATTTACTGTCAGAGGATGTAGTGATGGCCACGGGCATAGATGGCTTTAAAAGGGGATTAGATAGATTCATGGAAGATAAGTCTATCAATGGCTACTAGCCATGGTGACTGTAGGCAAACTCAACATTCAGAGGCAACATCAAGAGAAGGCCTCGGCCTCTATGCCCTGTTGTGTGAGACAGGATGCTGGACTAGATGGACTATTGATCTGAACCAGCAGGGTTCTTCTTATGTTCTTATTTTTACTACTGTTGTAGCTGTTAGGGGTGTGCTTACCAAATATATCCAGGCTTTCTTGGGAAAACCAGAAAAGAATTCCTGAAAAAATCCCAGATATATTCAGGAATTACCGGTAGATCTGAAAATAGAGGAGAGGCGGAATCAGATTGCTCCTGCCTCTCAGCTGTTTGTTGGGCTTCTACTGCTGTTTAAAGGGACTGCAGAATACAACCCGAGGATCAGGACTGGCTGTGCCGAGGGAAGCAGACTGTTCCCACCAGCTCGGACTGAGCTGCAGGAGAAGCTGTCTGAGCCAGGATCTGTGTTCCTCACGGAGTGATCGCCCCATGGCAAGCAGATCCAGGACCTTGTTCCCCGAGGCACGAAGATCCTGGGTCTGGTGCTGCAGGAGAAGCCGTCCCAGCCAGGATCTGTGTGCCGCAGAGAGCAATATCCCTGAGGCACACAGATTCCGGGTCTGGCTCCTTCTGCAGTGTAGGCTGCAGGAGAAGCCAAGCCAACATCGGGCTGGCTTTTAAAAAAAATCTGGTATTTTTCTTCCCAGGTCTATTGGACCCCCAAAAAATTCAGGATTCCTGAAAAATCCCAGATCCAAATATTGTACTGGTATTGGGATCCAGGATTTTTCAGAAATACAGAAATATTTTTGGGTCTAATAGACTGGAACCGGAAAATAACTAATTGATTGCACACCCCTAGTAGCTGGCTCTCACTACTGGCAGATAAACAGGAATTTATGAGCTGATTCTGGTTAGTTTTGAACATCAGATGATGTGAGCACAGCTTAAACTATCTGTAGTTTATTGTGATTTCTGAATGGGTCTGGGGAATAGAAACGTTGGTAGCTCAGGTAGTTGCTTTTGCAAGAAGTTCAGAAGTTTCCCTGTGTGCCTGGAACTTTTATCATGGCTTTGAAACCAAGTATTTCTACTCTGGGAAAAACTTGAGGATTGAAAAAAGTAGGTTAAAGAACAACTATGTTTCCATGGCACAAAAGAAATAATGTTATTGTACTGAGGCATCAATACTGAACATTTTGCTAAAGCCAGACTGTATGAAAATAACTGACATCAATATTTTTATTGTTTGGAGACCTTGGGTGTTATGAATTATTGTGTTATATCACGTATTGCAACCATTTGTCACTATTTGTTTCTCTAAATACTAGTTAGAGCTCTCTAAATACTAGTTAGAGCTAGTTAGAGCCAAATGAAGCAAGAGAGAGAAGAAGAGAGAGAGAGAGAGAGAGAGAGAGAGAGAGAGAGAGAGAGAGAGAGATTATAATTACAAGTAGTACCCCCACCCCCTACCCCAAAACCTACAGTAGCAGATTATGAGGGTTTAGGAAAATAACTAGCTCTTGAGTATTCTCTTGAGTATTAGTCAGCAAAATCTCAGTAAACAGAATGCTGATGCCCGCAACACTGCATAAGGATGATGAGTCAAAAGGAATGGAAACAGATTATTGGCCATGTCCTGTGGTAACTAGACAGGAAACCTATGATTTTCAAAATCCATACCAGACTAAATCATGTCAAAACTATTTTGAAGTTTAGGATTCCATGATTTCTTTCTAACAAGTGAAAAGACTCCTGCTAGAAGATGACTTGTGACTTAACAGAAAAATCACCAAATCTAGTCCCCCCCCCCACACACACACAGAGGGAGAGAGAGAACAGATGCAGGATTTATATATTGACATGTACCTTTTCCCTTCCACCCTTCCCAAATGGTACTCACTACTTCACGCTTTTCCACTTCAAACCACCGAGAAATGCCAGGCAAACTCTGCACTAAGATCAATGTGGTTCTTTCAACCCACAAACTCTGCAAAACAAAACACAAAGTACTTATGATATTCTTTCCTTCACTGATACAGAACAAAGACTGCATACTGTTCTACCCCATTTATACAGCATCTCGTTTTATTTAGTTTGTTTCCAATCCATGGCTGTTACAGGGGAAAACGTATGCCAGAAATATAATAATATCCTGAACTCTGCTATAGGTTGACTGAAGTTCATGGCAAAAGAGAGACACAGGTATAGCTGCTTTCAAGTTGTGTCAGGCTGGGAAGCAGCATGGCATGGAAATTCAACAAACAAACGAATGAATAGAAATCAAGGGTCTTGCTTCCCTTACTAGAAAAACAGAATGTGAAACACCACACCAGGCTGGATCAGTGGACCCTTGAACAGCAATGTTGGCATCAGCACTAGGAGAAGCTGAAGTGCCCCTTGAATGAGCAGAAGGAGCCAACTGCTCATTCCCTTGGCGATGTGTTTCAAAATTTAAAAAATGAGGCAGTATTATTTTATTTGCAATATTTCCACTTAACATCAGTTGCTGATACAACACAGTAAGCTGAGGGAGAAATATGTGCTGAACATTCAAGGGGGTTGGGTATGGTTGCCAGACCCCAGGGTGGAGGTGGGGGTCCCCCACTACCATGCCCTGTCCCCCAGTGGCCGATCAGCTGGTCAGCAGGGGGACTTACTTGGAGAAAGAGAAAGGCCCAGGACTGAACAGTGCACAGGAAGTGATGTCATCACACCAGCAATATCCAGGCGATGCTCTGGTATTTGGGTTTTACCATAGTGTTTTTGCCCAAATACCAGAGCATCATAGTGACATTGCAGTACATTGATGCCACAAGGCCTGGGCTTTTCTTTTTCTCCAGTTAAGTTCTCCCACATCCCCCGCTGGGTGCCAGGAGGGACCTGGCAACCCTAGGTTTGGGAATTGTGTTCCTTAGAAGCAGCTCTCATTCCAAATAGCAAACGCCTTTTGAAACTGGTGAGACTTGCAAAACTGTGATACGGCACAGGGGTTTGCTTTTCAAAAAGGAGGGTGGGGTCCCATGTTCAAACTCAATGTAATCTGAAGACTCCGTGAAGAATGCAGTTTTCTGTATTTTTTTAGTCAACATACTCCTATGAATAATGTATTTAAATAAAACTTCTGTTGGTTAGAAATGAGACAGTAACCATACCTTGAATTCATTATCTTTATCTTTCATTCCTTTGTGGAATGGCCTATCATATCGGAATCGCCAGATATGATTTACTTTATAAAAACTCTTGATGTTATCTGGAATGCCTTCTCTCTGCAGCACCTCCTGATTTTCTGGAATTGGTGTTACAGCATAGATTTGAAGATCTGTATATAGCAAGTTAAGGACCAAGATATATTACAATCCAGCAAAAGTGATGGCTGGGAGAGGAATACCATTGCACTAGAGCTGGTCAAACTAATTCACTTCAGAACAGGCTTGGGTGAAAAACAAAACACTTACTTTCAAAATCAAGCAAACACAATTTTTTAAAAAGTCAAGCCCAATGCACAGTTTGGGCCCCATTACACTCCCTTGCTGCTCAGTTGCTTCTTCTCTTTCCAAAGCATATTTGGTAACACTAAGGAAGACGCAAACTGGAGCGTCATTCAGGCCCTCCATTGAGCCCTAGATTCTGGGACTCTCCAGGAACCAGGGCAAATCAAGTTTCCATAGTTCCTGAAGATCCCAATATGTACATTAGAAACAACAGGAATTATATTTACTATGGCTCTCAGTGGATTAAATGAGCACCACACATGCCTCACAGCTTCTACTACTTCTTTTAATCGAGTCCTTCTCATGAGATGCCACCATTTCAAGTAAGTATGGTAACAAGGGAATTATGGTGTAGTGGGTTCAAGTGCTGGCCTAAGCTTAGAGGGAACAGAGTTCAAATCCCCATTTGCCATGAAATTCACAGTGACCTTGGGCTGGTTATCATCCCTCAATCTAACCTACTTCACGGAATTTTTTTGTGAGGATAAAAGAGAGATAAGAGCCGTGAAGATAAAATACACTAAATAAATATGTACATACACTTCAAAGTAGAAGAGAGCATTGGAAACCATGCCTAATTCAGAATCATCCCAAGCATGTTAGTGTTGCCAACCTCTAGGTGGGAACTGGAGATCTCCCAGAATTACAACTGACCTCCAAACTACATAGATGGCTTGTCGTTGTTTTTGAAATGTATCTAAAACATTTATTCTATTTCTTCTGGAGAAAATGGCTGCTTTGGAAGGTGGACTGTATGCCATTATACCCTGCTGAGTTTCCTCCCCTTCCTAAACCCCACCCTCCCAGTCTCCACCCTCAAATCTCCAGGTATTTTCGAACCTGGAACTGGCAGCCCTAATATGTGTTTCTGCACACATCTTCAAGTTTCAAAGTTCACTCCCATCAATACACTTCACATTGAGAAAATGAAATTGTTCGCAATTTAATTTTTTTAAAGCACTTTAGCTACCATGACTGTGAGTATGGCCATCTTCTTAAGCCTGAGTGTTGAATTATTTCCAACAAGACAGTACCTACCTGGAAACATTGTAGCCTCATCTACTGAGGAAGACATTCTAAAGCCCGGTTTGTTAGCCCATGCTATTCTTTAGAATTGTTGTGGCCATGTATACTGCCCAGATTTCTCGAAAAGGGGCAGGATGGATATATAGACACACAAAGAGATCTTTGGAATTTCTCTAACAGGTTGTTGTACAGATTACCCTCTGAAACCATTTTTCAGTTTGTTCTATTGCATTTGCTTTGGTGCTCTATAGGATAAGTAAACCCATATTGAGTGATACAAGCTAAATGTAGAAGTAATTTTAGTATGAAGGAAAATATTCATTGTAAATGTTTGGACCAGATTACCGGCTTCTTGTCTTATCCAAAAGTTCTGTACTTTCAGTTGTTAACTGTGGCCAGTTTCTTCACTCATGAGAATTGTTTATGTAAGGTAACATTAAAACCCCAAATGAAACCTGCATTCCAGTAAATGAAGCTGCATACAGATAAACTTACTGATAAAATAAGAAGTTTTGTGTCTGCATGATGTCGTCTTAAAGAAAGTCTTTTTAAGTATTACAGAGCCTACTGTTCTAAAACAACAACAACATGGTAATCAAACATAGAGCAGAAATTTTCCTTCTTTTTTGGAGTCTTTCCAATCTTGCAACATGTAACAAAAGAAAAGTCAGAAAATCTAGCAATACCTTTCAAACTATATATTTTACTGATGAGAAGTTATGAAATACAGATTATTTATTTATTTATTAAACTTCTACCCCGCCCTCCCCACACGTGGGCTCAGGGCGGCTTACAAACACTCCTTTGCTCTTCTGACTTTCAACCACCTTTGGGATCCCCAGTTACATCCCAGATCTCCCAGTCTTCACCAAATGAGTACCATCAATGGAATCAGGCAGGCATGCCTCATGATAATAAACCTGTTCTTCATCCCTGTAATTAATGAATTTTAAGTGTCTTGTAACAGCTGGAGCAACTATATTGTAAGGAATGTGATGTATGAGCTAAGAACTAGCAAGTAGGAGTCAAAGCTCTTTTGGCAGAAAGAGAGAGAGAGAGAGAGAGAGAGAGAGAGAAAGAGAAAGAGAAAGAGAAAGAGAAAGAGAGAAAAAAAGAAAGAAAGAAAGAAAGAAAGAAAGAAAGAAAGAAAGAAAGAAAGAAAGAAAGAAAGAAAGAAAGAAAGAAAGAAAGGTAGATAGATTACTGGAGCTATTTTGGATTATTTTCTCTGAGGCCTGTGTAAGAATGTTTTAAGGTCACCCTGTGGAAAATTGATGTGAGGGAAATTGAGCAAGTTAGATCCTTTAGGTGTTTGGGTGTTTCGTTTCATTATAATTTAAAATGATCTTCCCATCGGGACCAATTGTTTTTATTAGTTACCATTAACAGTTTATTTTAGGTTTTCCACAGT